TCAGATAACTCTGAAATTTCAAATAATATCGAAGATACCGATTATAAGATTAATTCTTTGCTTTAGCAAATGCTATATCTGTTCGTTCTTCATTTGTTCGCGATTCTCATGCATCTCATATTTCATATTTATATTTATTCGTAAAAAAGACGTAGATACATGTAAAATCAAACTTTATTGTTATCCTTTCATGCGACATTGATACATTATTATTCTTGTTTACTTTCAAGCTGATACTGAATAGTTGGTAACGATAACGAAATTGAAAAAAAAACAGTAATTTCTGCATTTATTTTTACAATGATATTATTATAAGTGTAGATATATACAACAATACAACATTTCGAAAAAGCTTATTAAGATCTATCAAAATTGATATTTAATATTCATATGATATCGCGCGCAAATGCATGAAGAAGGAATACATTCATTGTCAGTGTCGTTTTATTATACTCCCGCAAAATGCAAGTGCACGAACCTACACGAAGCTGCACGGAAAGACACGAAATATAGCTATAAACGGCAAATATTAGTCATAAAGAATGTCTCGTTACGACCTCTGCAACTCTCCATTTTCAGTCTTTCTCGAGTAACTGCACAGCGTTGGTGTAGACGTGCCTGAGATATCTTTAGCACAAATTTTTCCATTCATAGTCCCGGCATTCCTTCAATGCATGTGATTGATAAAACTATAACCGCGTATCGTTTTATTTAATTACGAAAACTTAATAAAATCAAATCAAATTCAATAAATTTATGTAAGAAGAAAATTCAGTGTCCGTGATATAAACAGAAGTGAACACGGTATTTTTAAAGTACATAATTTTACGATCCTGAAATTTTTTTTATTAAAGCATCCACACATAATGTCCATTAAATATCCATAAAACGTTCATGTAGCTCCATATTCATATATATATTCATGATAGATTTTATTTTAAATCTATCGTAGAGATGTTACCTTCACAATAGATATCCACACAAAAATTCATTACAAAAATTCATTAGACATCTTCTATGGATGTATTTAACACAATTGGCACAATATAAAACAATGTGATTTAAATTTCAAATGAACTTTGACTGTGTATATCTAAAAAATGTGTAATATTTTTTTTATTTAATTACATTTTTTATCGTAATGTGTTATCAGATTGTGATATCAGATTTTAAAAAATTAATAAATCAATATTGATTTATAAAAAACAGTTCAGAACAAAACAAGCCAGTAATTACAATTCAATTGCGAAATGTATAGTGCCAATTCAAAGTTCGCGTTTTATCAATCTAAGTGAGATAATACGTTATCTGAAAAATTGCTGATATTAGCAGTAAATATCAGATATAAATTGTTTTTAAACTATCTACTTATATGTTTACATTTGTGACAAATAATGTTGAACTTTATAATTTAAATTATAGCTAAAAATTTGTGTGGATGAGAGAATTTGTTTATAATATGTAGACTAAATATATAAACCTTACATATTAATATAACAATATAAGAAATTTACGCAATTATATGCGTAATACGTCTTATCAAAATAATCTTCAGAAAAAAACTTACTCATTTCTTTCTATTATATTACAGAGCTTAATTATAGTGTATAGAATCTATAAATACTTATACTAAAATTGTTTTATTGTCTTATACCATTAAACAAATTTTTAATTTAAATATTCATTATATCAAATGTTAAATACGGTATTATGAAACAATAATTAAAAGCATTCATAACTATGCATTATTCGTAAATAAAAGTGTTCATAAAAATTAATTCAACTATACAAAAAAATTAATTTATTTATATTATAATTATTATTTATAAAATAAAATTTATAAGTAATAGTTTATGTAATGTAAATTTAGTAAATTGTGCAAAAATTAAAATGTTTACATTTTAGCAGCTAACATGGATAACGTTCATGATCCATATTTGAGACATTTGTTCGATGGTAACCCAATATACAATGTCTACAATAATGAGTTCATAAGCTTATCAGCCGGAGCACCTGGTCCTGACTTATTAAAAGATTGTGCAGAAATAATAAATAAATCCACGCAGCATAGATTGGTAAAAATTATTTTAATATTGCTATTATTTTAATGTTGCATCTGTCCTTGTGTTTATCAGATAATATATTTAAACAATCGATTGCATATTCTGAATAATTTCTTGTATCTTCCTTATTTTTAAATTAAAATAAGCTATTTTCATAATAATATTTAAAAACTTGCTGTTACTAAGCGTTTTTATTTTTAACTTTATACTTTGTACATGTGTCCGCTGTTTTGTTAAATCGTATAAATAATATGTGATTGCTAATATTAGTAATAATTATAACTGTAGAAAATGGAATTATTAAAATTAAGAGAAATTTATTTCTGCAAATCAAAATATACGAACTAAATTTTCAAAATCTGATAGCAGATTTAATTGTATTAAAAATGAAAATCTAATTGAAACCAATTACAATTAATAATTTCTGACTACTTAATAAGAGCATACAAATCTCATACAAATGTTTAGCAAGATACGATTTTCAAATAATATTTGTTTATGTTAAAATTAAAATGTAGTAATAATACATAATTGATTGAACAATTAATATTTCGTTGCTTGCATTTGGAACATTTCATGAGCTATTCCAAAAATCTTAAAATATTTATTAACACTTTGCTTATTGACAAAATTAAATATTACCTCAGAAAGAAGAGGAGAAGGAAGGGAAATATTATCTCTTTCAATATGGTATCACAGCGGGTCTTTGGGAATGTCGCGACGAGTTAGCCAAATTTTTAAGCAGACGATATGGCAATTCCGTAATGAGAGAGCAACTGATATTAACATGCGGTGCATCGCATGGTCTTCAACTGCTATTGAATACCATACTATCACCAAACGGCATTATCTTTGTGGAGGAAGTTACTTATATGATTGCTCTCGATGCTTTTAAACAATTTCCATTAATACGAATAGTTACAGGTAGGTACAATACTACATAGACTGTGTTCCAAAATTCACTGCCAATACTGAAAATCTATATAATTAATATATACATATATATATACAGTTTACGTTACGTGTACTACAGATTTTCAGCATTGGCAGTGAAATTTGGAACACTGCTATATTCGTTATATATTTGTGAAACAAACAAAATAATATCTAAATCTATTTATTTTATTATTGTTTTCATTTCATATAGTGCCAATGAAGGATGATACAGTGGATCTAGATGCACTCGAGAAACTCATAATTAAAGAGAAGACAACAGGAAACTTTCTTGTGAGCAATCAGAAATTATTTTGGGCGATGTTTTATACAATACCAACTTTTCATAATCCAACCGGAATGACATTGTCACATGGTAATATACATCATATTCAGCAGAATCTCGCATACTTTAAATTATCGCAACCGTACGATACACTGTATTATTCTAGTGGAGAGAATTGCAACTCCATTATCCATTTCTTTTCAATCAATATATAAAATTTTATTCTTTTAAAGTACAAAAATCAATAAATTTAAAATAAATAATTTAATATATTCTTCTTGATAGATTAACAACAATGGATTACTTTATCTGTTTTCTCAATAGATCAATGCAAACGTTTAGTCGAGATTGCACGAAATAATTCCATACTCGTAGCCTGCGATGATGTGTACAATTTGCTTTATTATGGACAAGGATTTCCGCCACGACGCTTATTTTCTTACGATGATCCAAACGATTCAAACTATAAAGGAGGGAATGTTGTATCAAATTGTTCATTCTCCAAAATTCTTTCGCCAGCGATTCGCTTTGGATGGATCGAAAGCAGTCCGCGTATCATAAATATTATAAAAACATCGTAAGAAATTTTATTTTTCAGAAAAAAATTGATTAAGAAAAATATATATTATGTGTAAAACCATTTATTGTGTCAAAATAATTTAATAATAATTTAATAATAATTTACATAAAAGTATTCTACAGTTAATCATTGACTATTATTATTGTATATTATTCGTAACGCATTAACGTAGCTTATACGTTTTTAATATATTGTTAACTTTTTAGTGGCATAATGTGCAGCGGTGGTGGAGTTAATCATTACGTTTCTGGAGTGATTGCGAGTGCGCTTCATGAAAATCTCGACGAGTATCTTGATAAGATTATAAAGATTTATAAGGTGTGTTACATCACTCTCATTCTTGTATCATAAATATCTTTATGTCCCAAGCAAATAACCTTACAACATATAATAATAATTTTATAAAAATCTTCATTAAACTTCGAAAATAGATTGTGTATGCTCTTACAATTTTATAATTAATTATTTTAATATTTAACATTATCTTTATATTTTTATAATATTATTTAATAGAAAAGCGAAAGATAGAAATTAAATTAATAAAAATCAATTTATAGGAACGATTAGACACGCTTTGTGCGATTCTGGATCAATTTCTGCCAAAGTGTTGCTCATATCAGCGACCAGAAGGTGGTTATTTCGTTTGGCTTCATCTTCCCTCAGGTATAACAAATTTTTTTTCTTATATAATGATTATTGAAGTTGTCATATTTAAATATTGGAATGATTATGAAACAGTAAAATTTAGTAACTACCTCCGAATATAAAATTCTAATACGGTCATAATTTTAATATTGTTTTCTTTCAATTACACTTTTACTAATTCATTTTTTGTAAAAAAAAATTATATCTCTTTATAGATATAGATGCAACCGCATTCGTCAAATGGTGTGAAAAGGAATACAAAGTATCAGCAATACCAGGTCCTCGATTTTCATTCACAGGTGGAGCAAAGAATTTTTTACGTTTAAGTATAGGTTTTCACACGAAAGAAGTTTTGAAGTTTGCAACGCAAACTTTATGCGAGGCGCTCTTAACATATATTAAACATCAAGTCAATGGTACAAAAGATGTTACAAATAAGAATTGATTCAAAGGCATAAACAAATATTTAATTGGATTAATTTTTTAAGAAAAGAAGTATCTAAAGATACGTACACTATCGAGTACAGTAATTTTTTAGACATTAACTACTTCATATTTTATAAACAAAATAAAAAAAAAGAAGTATTACATATATACGATAAAAAATTTATATATACAATATATATAATTATATATAATTATATAACATAAAGAGTATTTTATAAGTTTTCTGTAAAAAATGCATTTTAAATATTTCATATATCAAGTACAGTAATATTTTAGACATTATCTTCAGATTTTATAAACAAAATTTAAAAAAAACATAATATTTTATAAGATTTCTATGAAAAATGCATTTTAAATATTTTTATATACAATTGCCATTGTAAAAGTAAGTTTTATAAATTATAACTGTTACGTGACATATTAATTAATGATAAAAGTTATATCCTGAAATCAATTACACTACGGTCTTTAAAATCTTATTCACAACCTTAAGAAAAGATATTTTACAAATTAAAAAATTCGAAATATTGAAATTTTTTATTTAAAAAATGTGTTATTTGAATAAGTATTAGAAAAACACTTTTTTCTTCAAATATTTTATATGTTTAGAATATAAATTGCAACAATTACATTCGGACAGTTACATACATTATTTTCAAAATTTAAGCCAAACATTATAACACGAGTCATTGCCATTTTTTTATTGTAAAATTTCAAAAGAATTCAGTACTATATCAAGTGATTATATAAAATAAATGCATTTCATTAAATTTTATTTTCGAGTTTCTTTATCATCTATTTTTATTCTTGGTATCGATTATATAACTTTTTTCTTGGGGCAAAAACGTAAAAACGTGAAAACTGATGACATACTATTAAAGATATCTTTAATAGTACCTTGTTACATGATCGATACCCTGAATTCAAATTGTTTAAGAAATTCCATGCATACATACATACTGTGTATATACATGTGTATAAAAAAAACAAGATAAGAAAATATGAAAGTAAATGTATATTTTTATTACATAATTAAATATTATATATCTTTGCATACAGTAACTAGCAATATAATTCAAATTCAAAATTGCAAATTGTCGAAAACAAGTTTATTCAGCATCACCTACTAACTCTTTTTGTTTGGTTTCTAACATTTGTTCAGCCTTGCTTACATACTGATGATTTAAAATATCTACATAATTTTCTATTCTGAACACTAGATCTTTAGCTAGCTCTTCCTTTTGCCTTATTTTCTTTATTTGTTTATTGCGTATGTCTCTAATGCTGTCGCAACATTTCACATAAAAGCTTTTTGCATTCTTGGATAAAATTTGTCTGTGTTCCTTTGTTACTCTGTAAAAAAAAAAATGTAAAAAAAATTTATTTTATATATAAATAGATAACAAAGAATTAACACAAATAACTAGCTACTGTACTCATAAATTTTTATTATATAGTACTTATAGAATTTAATAAAAAACTCTTTACAAAAATATAATTTATAAACCTATTTTCTCCAAAGACACATTAATATCATGAGAATATAACTCCTTATAACTCAATTTCTTACAATGTAGAATCTAGCTTTCAGTAACTATAAAAACTAATGAAGTTTAAAAACATTTTTTTTCTCTCTTAATGAGATATAAAAAACTTACTTAGGAACAGGAATATAGATTGCAGTCCCATCTTGCTGCGGATTTAGATTCATCTGATTTTCGGTAAGGCTTTTCAAAATATTTGGGATAGCTTGCGGAAAGGTAGATACATTCAGCACTATCAATTTAGGCTTACGACTAATTTGCGCAAGCTCTTGCAATGTGTAATCATTTCCTTCGAACTTAATAGGCAGCGTCTCAATGGCTCCTGTATTTGATCTTATCGACAAATGTTGAGTAAAATCATCTTTTAATTTTTCAATTGTCTTGTCGAATTGAGATACCAATTTATTGACATCAACAACTTGTTCAAACTCATTGTAATCAATGCGCTGTATCTTTGTCTTCTTTTCGCCGCGATTCTTACTTTTTCCCAATACAGAGGTCGTAGAAAAGTCTCTTGCGTCGCTCGCTTTGATACAATTGCAATGGGAAAGATTTAAAATCCTACAACACTGAATGATTTGCAGTGACCTTTGCTGATTATGAAGACAATGTATTCCTTTGTTCGATGAATAACAATAATGTGGATAGTTTTTCATTGGTTTCAATATTGAGATTGCTGCATAATTTCTCAACTTAGTACTAGCACAGAAACGTATGCCTACTAAACTTCCCATCTTTGTATAAAAAATGTTCACAATCGCAATATACTAGCACTGTGTATTAATATTATAATAAACATCCAATATATTTGGATATTTATTCAGTAATATTTGCAAAATACTTTCAAACAATACACTAAATATTACTACAGATTTGCTCATGTACGTATTGAAATCTCATTACCTAACCTCTTCGTAAACACATTGATTTTGAAACTATAACCTCAAACTCAGAGGTTAGATTAAAGCATAGACATGAGTAGATCTAGATTGAATTGCGGTGTTTTCGAGAATTAAGCGCCATCAGTCTCGAAACGTGGATGTAGCCCGGACACTCGTGAATGTTGCTACGTAGTTTACATCCACTTCTTCAGGTGGTGTTAGTGCACGAGGGCATTTTGAGGTAACAGGCAAAAGGCCATCATGTCCTCTCACTCAGGTTTCTCTCTGACTATGAATGTAGTTTAGTTTGTTGCGCACTCCGCAGTGACGCAGTCCGCAATCCGTTGTCGGGGATAGTCGGGAATGGTCGGGAACGACGGGACTCGGGAGTAGACGGGAACGTCGGGAACAGTTTACAGAGGAGAGGGTTCTAAAATATAGTGTCTTCTGTTCTGTGGTCTTCACCGGCTTCACCTAACAAGTAACACGTTGTCGGATGTACGGATAAAAACAGGAAGAGCTGTTTTTACATGAATACCGGTCTTCCTCTATCCTTCCCAGTTCTATTTGCCTGATAATTCTACATTCGAGGTATGTCTTTGTGGAGAAAAAGGTGATAACGTGATACCACGATTATTTCACACTATCGCTGAATCGTTACGTTCTTGTTTCAGCGCAGTTATGTAAGGATAGGCTTCGACTCAATTTTTACATGAACGGAGAAGAATCAGATGAACAGCGTGAAGCGTGAATATTTCGACATATTGCTCTAATCGTAATCCGCTCGATTGTTTTAAACGTCGAGGTAAGATAAATTCAGAATTCATTCATGTAAATTCTACCGCTGATAAAATCACAAGATACCCTTTCTCTCAAAGCTATTATTTTTGTTTGTCTGCTGTTTATTTGCATTTTTTTTTTGCACTCTTTCTACATTTAAAATGAAATGAAATAGTTATATGTCGATAGTGTGGAAGAAAGAGAAAAAAATACAAAATATAAAAAGTATAACCAAGTATAAACAGATCTCTGTTAATAGAGTACCTATAGTTAAGAGTACCTAGTTGGTTTTTTTTCATAAAACTAAAGTCAGGCACACAACATATGTTTTCTTGCTGGATTACTTGCGTTTTGAAGAATGTAGAATTTCTAGTAATTTACTAAAATGCGATCTATCAAGAAAAACATGCACGTTGCCGTGTGACGTTGACTTTCAATGACTAATTCTTACTACAAGTACAATATAAATAAAACTACAGATCAACGCTTGCTACAAATGCCCTTTATATCTTTTGATATATTTGCGTGTTCCATACACCTGCTGTTTATAAGTTGCTATTTATTTGCATTTTTTTGCACTCTTTCTTTCTACATTTAAAATGAAATGAAATAGTTATATGTCGAAAGTGTGGAAGGAGAAAGAGAAAAAAATACAAAATATAAAAAGTATAACCAAATAAACAGATCTCTGTTAATATTAAAACACAAGCGTAATTATTATTTTCAGAGTGTTTTCTTTTTGTTTGCAGCAAGTACATACGGATAACTGCAATTTACAAATAGATTATTAAAAATTGGGTAGCAACGTTAAATCCGATCGACATGAGTAAAACACCAGTTTCCATTCTCCAAGAGATGATGGTGAAACAGAGCATTACACCCGATTACGAGTTGATACATGACGGTGGAGGACGTCATGTGAATACCTTTACGTATCGTGTTACATGCGACGGTCTCAGTGCAACTGGTACAGGTCGCTGTAAGAAGGATGCCAAACACGAGGCCGCTAAAGCTATGTTAGCGGAGATTGCTGCACACAGAAATTATCCACAACTGCCAGCTGCTACCACACCAACGGTGTCTCCGTCAAGGTCACCGTTCCACTCCGTTCCTCCTCTACCAAGGACATCGGCAAATGTACCTTTCTTCAACGCCGTAGGTGAATTACAGGTAATTGTCTTGAACTCTTATAATTTATTATTAATATTATATAGTCACGTGCCTCGATGGTTTTATTTATTTTACCGTGTTCCTCTTTTTCAGGAACTTTGCGCCGAGAATAATTTAAAGGAGCCAGAGTACACTCCTATCCGGGATGTTGGACCGCCACATGCTCGAATCTTCACTATTCGATGTAAAGTATCTAATTTTGAAGAAGATGGAATAGCAACTACGAAAAAGCAAGCAAAACACTATGCTGCGAAAGCAATGATAGATAGAATAAGGGGTCTCATGAATAATTCGAATGATTCCTACAAAGAGAAAAATGGAGAGGAATATTCTCCAAATTCATCTTGTAATTCGACTATTGACACGGAAACGTTGAATAGAAATGCGGAGGAACGTTACCGTGCATTGGTTAGAACAAAAAAAGTCAACTTGGGTAGTAAATTATCTGAATACCACACTATTTGGAAAGACTCCTTGGAGGTAGATAAGCGTAATAATATATTGGAACAATTAGAATATAATTTTCCCAATGAATTTCTTGATAATGAACCAACTACCTATGATACTGTAATTGAAAACGTATCTGAATTAAAAAGAATACTATTAGAGATTGATGTAATGGTTCAAATGAAGGACATAATTGCGGATAATTGTTATGTGATGAAAGCAATAGAGCTCAATACTTGTCCTTTTCTCACGCAGATTGGTATCGGAAGAAATGATGTAGAAGCATCTTGGAAAGCATTATCTCTATTAATAAACTCCGTAAAATTACTCCTATCGTAGAATAAGAAATTAATAAAAAGAATCAAGATACAAATCAAACTTAAATATTAATGATTTGAATAAAAGTTTTTTTTTTCAACTTGACATTCTTTTTGGATAGATACACATTCAAAATTATTTTAATTTTAATAAAAAGTATAAAAAGTAAAATTTTTATTTTTAAGTCTAATATCCAGAGTTTAAAAAAATGTTATTGCATCTCTTAAAGATATGGAAGTATTCTTGATTTAAGTATGTAATTGATAAGTATATTTTTATGAAATTACAAAATCTAATCAAAGAAGGCTGTTACTTTTTTTAATTTTGATTTATAGCGTCAAAGATGTAATATAGAGGTGATAATTATTGTGTTTTGTAATTATTTTTAAATATAATTTTACATAGACAATAAGCACATGATTATTACCGAATGTAGTGTGTGGTTTAGTTTATCAAATAATCTATATTTTTGTACACGATTATTTACAAAAATTGTACTTTACATATAAAATAAAAGAATAACTACATTACATTTTTTTATTGATTCCTCGCAAAAAGGAATAACACAATAAATTTATATAATGTACAAGTTGATATAATTGCATCAAATATAAGTATCAAATGTAATTTTAAATAATTAATTTTTGAATAATTTAAGTTGTTTCTTTAATTATTATACGCAATTATATCAAATCTTTTATTTAATGTCACATAACAAGGCTACACCTCGAAGTGTCCAATGCCGGGGATTATAATCTGTTTCAAAATCGATCGAACCCACGTATTTCGCGTCAGTTCTTTGAGGCTTTCTATATATAGGGCATTCATATAATTTCGGATCTTTACCAGCGGTAGTATTTATTGCGAAAATATAAATAACCGGCATTTGTTCGTAAAGAACCTTCGGTCTACTCTCGACGAGTTTGCCGGCTTTTCGGTCAAGCGACGCGCCTTCCAGGAACAAACCATGAACGTAAACTCCTTCCTGAGGCTGACTTTTAATGTCTTCTTTATTATAGCGCGTAATAACGTTTTGCAAAACTACGGAATCTAAAGCCCAACCCTTATGCGCTCTGGTCACTTCCTAAAATTCATTTATTTGATTGAAGTTAAAACAAGCAGTAAAAACTAATATACATATATATAATTGCGACGAAATTAAACTGTAATTAATATTTATTGCAAATTTTTTGTGTTTTCTAGGACTTGATATATTTAACATTATAAACTTTATATTTAATAGTTATGCAAAGTAAATAAATCTAAATTTTGTTATAAAATACGTGCAGCTATAAATTTACAGCCAAGTCTATCGAAAAAATTTTGCACAGTGTTAATTATAAATTTTGTCATCTACATATTTAGTATGGAATTTGACAATGTTGGCTCAATGCTGGCAGAGACATAACAAACTATTAGATTAAATATATATATTAAATGTATCTATGTAAATATATTTTTGTCAGATATATAATATGAATTAATTTATTAGCTTTGAATACAATTAATATATATTATTTAATTGTATAATTGATTAATAAAATTTATAACAAACACTTTACAAAATCTTTTCTACAGACTTGACTATAAGTTTATTAATACATAATAATTATAATAATTTATATTAATACAATTTTAACACTCACCTGCCTCATTGCCGTTAAAAATCCTTGTGGATTAAAAAATCCAGTCATCCAAAATACTTTCGGACGGCCATGAATGCACCATTGTCTGAATTGATGATCTCTTTCTAAAAGCTCCGTATACCAGAAGCCTAAAGTTGCCGATTCCCAAGATATTTTCAACCACTTGTCTGGGATACGTGCGTCATACATCGCATCTAATGATTTTCGCAATCCTTGACTCATTACTATAGTACCTTCGATAGCCAGCTTCAAATCCGTTAAAGTACTTCGTACTTCCTTGATGACTCGCGAAATTCTGAAAAGAATCGTCGTTAAAAAGAATAAAAGGAGGAATAATCTGCCCTATCTTTTTTTTTATAGGATTTTTTGTATAGGATATACAATATTTTACAGATAACATATATTTAAATTTATTTTATGTATGAGAAGTGAGGAGGAATATTTACCGGTCTATTTCCTGTCTTAAAAAAATGTTCATCGGCAACAATGGGCCCATTCTTTGAAGCGCTTCTTTCACTTCAAAGGAATTGTACTGCTTGGGTAATTTGGACAGCATATCACTGGCTAATTTATACACGACGTTCTCTCTAGACTCACCCCCCTGTGCACCACCCTCTTTAGGCTGTACATTAAGAATCGCATCGAGTATTCCTTTCGCTGTATTGATCTGATAAGTAATATCGGCGTTCGGATGTAATCCGAAGACCTCCGGGGTGTCGGTCGCGGGTAAACTATCGATGTAGTCCAGATATCCCTGAAGATTTCTCGTCTGAGGTACTCTGTATCCTCGATAAAATTCAAAGCCGGGTCGTAATAATACGTCGCAAAACCAAACATGCGTGAAAGTTGTTAATAAACGTTTGTCAAAATCGTCCGTGACCCTACCGCCGTATTGGACCTACGTGTAATGATATTAATAAATGCAATTTGATAAAAAATATATATAATATAAGAAATGTAACATATATCGTTTTATTTAACGAAGGTTAAAAAAATTAATAGATCGAAACCTCTCCGAGCATATAGCAGACCGTCGGCCAGGAAACTCCCTTCTTAGGATCCATATCATCCAAGTGATTCTGGATGAATTGAACCGATGCTGCAAAATCTGCTTGATTAAATTCATAAGGTATATTCCAGCCGAGCGGTCCAAATTTTCTTCTCTCTTGCACCACAGTGTGTAAAAATGCAACGGCGTATAACAAGGGCGGCCACTGCGATTGAGTACTATAATCCAATGCGTCTTGAGTTACCGCTTGATAAGTTCTCTTTAAACTGGCTCTTATGCCTTGAGGTGGCTCATTCGTAAATTTAATTGCCATCTGAAACATATTAATTTCTTATATTTATAATGTATTTATTCGAATCTGCTTTTTTCCATTTCTAATACAATAATCGATGTTTAAGTTAAGAGTTGGTTACTCAAAATAGCACGAAAAGTTCAAAAAGAATTTATTCGTATATATATTTTTTAATTCAGTCGTATATCATCAATTCTGAATTAATTTTCAGAGTCAAAAAGAATTTTTTTTCTAGAATTTTTGAAAACGTTTTCTTTTTACATCTAAAAATAAACTCAGAATTAATGACGACTGAATTTTTTTTTAATTCTTTGTGCTATCTGGATACATTAAGAATTATAAAATAAAAATTCAACCTGTAGCAAACCAATGGGAAATTGAGGGTGTACTTCAGTTGTCATCCATAATCTGAACACTTCGTGAACAGTTTCTGTTTCAACAAGAGCATCCATTACTTCCGTACAGAAAGGCAATGATAGATGAATATTTTGTAACAGAACCCAGCCACCTGTACTCATAGCTTCGCTAATCATCCTTCGAGCATGGAGCTCTTGGCCTTGTCCCATAGATACTAAATTTAATGCTATAATAATATCAAAAAAATATCGTTATCAAATACACTTTCCTATATTAAAAAAAGATTTCAAATTTTCTTGGTGATTTTAATTTATCCCAAAGAAAATTGAAAAAATTTTGAATTTTCTTTGTGATACATAATTAATTAAATTGCTAACTTACGAATCGTTTTTTGTTTGGCTAGTGCTGTAATTTGAGGACTCGGATCGGATCCTATAGACAATAGGCATATCAGTGGCGTCCTAGGTTCAGACTCTAACCACGTTGCCTCCAAATCTAATATCTTAGCCTCCCCGTATTCTTTACCCAACGATTCCGTGATATACCTTCTCGCCTGGGATAAAGTTCGATCAGGGCTCCACGATCTGATGAGCAATAATTTCCGGAACACATCGAGACTTTTTTGATAGCCGCAAGGCAAATCTTCCTCTTCCGGCTTCTCTTTTTCGTACCACACCCTCCATTCCTTTTCACTGAACTCAATTTTCGTTAGTATATCCGAGAACACTTTTAGCCTGCTTATTTCGACTAAATTCAGCCACGTTATGTCGAGTATCCATTTGAACGGTTTCGGCGTTACTGCGTTAAGATCTAAGGACGCTCCACCTTTTATAAAGGCGTTGAATTCTGCATGGGAAATGGCGCCTCTGTGACAATCTATCTTCATACCTAGCATCAATGTAAATAAAGATTTGTGCCTCTCGTAAAGACTTCGCAGAGTGAACGCCCAGACTTCATACGTGAGGTGGCGTAGAATAATGTTTATCCTCTCGGAAGTTATAGGGCTCTTCGTGGATTTCGTAATTGAATTATCGAAGATCGTCAAGAATTGCCTCAACGAATTTTGATACATCACATTGACGTTGCTCATTTCGACTATCAGGAAATACAAAATCGAACCTCTCGACGCAACCGCGCGAAACTCCTCGCGTGCCAAGGTGATCTTTTTCTCAGTAAGAGCGGACACTTGCAGCTTTTCGTTCACCGATTCGGCCGTGGTTTTGGTTTCTCGAAGGACAGTTATTAAAGCCTCATCGTCCACCAGAGAGCCTTCCGACGATGTAAGTCTGTGTAATAGCGTACCTTCGAGTTCCTTCATTGAACGCTGATTGGTCATGACCGATTCGAACAGGGCGACTCTTTCCGCCTCTAAATCGGCTTTCTCCATGAGTATCACTCGACCTAACAACTGATCTTCTAAACCTAGCATCGTCACGGTGAAGTCAATAATCGACGTTTTCGCGGATATTTCTGGACTGTATGCTGGATTCGGTAGTTTAGTGGTGATATACAACATGAATCCTGGCATTACGTCACATTCCTTATCCCCGACGATGACCTTCTCGATAGATCCTGATTTAATAAAATTCTTTTCAAGTACATTATCGAGCACCGGATCGAGCTCTTCCGCAACGTCCTCGATTAGCAGTGGTCGGCCTAACGAAAGACTGTCCTCGAGATGAGTTCGAAAATACTTATGATTTAGCGAAGTAATCTGCAACTCGTTCGTGCTCTCCTTATTCTTAATCCACATTTTTCCTTGATTCTGAGGATCGACAAGAAGCGGATAGGACGAAGATTTTGTAACAATAAGCGCATTCTGTACGGATAACTCGTCGTTAGGCAATCCCTGAAGGGTCCACTCCGACGTCGTTGCCGTGTCGACGAGCATATTTGTTATATTTAAATTTTTAGTGAAAGGTATAGATTTGGTAGTCAATATATTCATCCACGCGGTCACCAAGCTGGCTCGATACTGTTGATTATAAGGTCCGCAGTATGACAAAAATCCAGTTGCCAACAAAACGTCCCCGACCAATCGTCCCAGTTGAATCTTAAATTCTCCACTTTGCTCGGTCCATCGAATCTTCTCGCCGCCTAATCCGTTT